GTTGTGATGACTAGCTGACTTCTCTCTAGTTTTTCAATGCTAAATTAGGTAAGGCTAAGTGTAGCTTTGCGCGAAATACTAAAAACCTAAACCATGTCTTTATTATTATCTTTTCAGTGTAAAAAAGTGCCTTTTATTATTTCGAATACAAATGTTGATATTTTAAACCGTTTCCTTCGAACATTAATCGAAACAAACATTTACAAAAAAATCTAAAATGTAATTATATATATATATATATATATATACATGGTGTTTTGAAATGCCTTTTACTTACACAGTGATCCTATATTTATACAGGAATTTCAAGAATATGTAGCATTAATTCAGGCGACAAGCTTCAGTTAGATTTAAGAAAGTTTAAAAGTAAATAATATTTAAAACGCGTATATACTTCGCAAGAAATATTTATTTAACATTTTTTTTACAGAATTTCTCCATTGTTTCATAGAATACGCGCTTTTGGACTTCGATTATAACTAGTTTAAAATACCGTGCGTACTTCACGTTTCAAGAAGGTCATTTCTAACTTATCACGGAGTTATTTCAAATACATTAAATTAAAATACACGGAATTTCTTAAAACAATGGTTTTATACTGTAAGAATTACCTTCATTTATCAGGGATAAAGTTCAGTTTTATACAAAAAAATATGAGGGCTACTACAAAAGAAAAGCTGGTGATATAACTAGAAATAACATCTCAAAGCTTTTAATTTTTTTTAGTTACTGAGTAAAACAAATTACGGAGCACGATCCTTGTCCTTGAAATGTTCATCTTGGAAAGTTCAATGGGCTTCAACTTCCTGTTCTTGAATGAAAGTCGCACCTTACTATACCTGCCACAGCTTGCATACATTGACCTTATGAAGAACTGCGTTAGCAGATCGAAACATTGTTTCAAAACAGGCTTTAACAAGTGGTTGAACCTTCCAAATCAAATCACATTCCTCAACCAAAAAGTTATTTAAAACAACATTGTTTTTCTTAAGTTGTTGTTCCCCAGGGGGTCAGCGGTAAGTTTAAACAATTACAACACTAAAATGCGAAGAGTTCGATTTCCCGCGGTGGACAAAACACACAAAACACAGTTGTGTAACTAGACGCTAAATACAACAACATTGTTATTGCTAATTCTCGAGTGGAATAAACGTCCAAGTGTATTTTTCTTTAACTTTGTTGTCAACGCATCGTGGTTTTAATATCTTGAATCAAAATTTCTATAATTTACTGGGCAAACATGTAAATGACAGTGGCATCCAATACGACTAGATTAAAAGCAGTTTAATGGATTTATTTTCATCAATTTTTTTCAATACTGAATTACTTCTTTCTTAGCTGTTTATTGCATTCCTATTTTATTTAAATAAAAACGATATTCTTTAGAAAAATATGTTTGAGAACTTTTAAGTAAGGTGTTATATGATGTATTAAAGCATCTAATAAATTATGACCATATTATTGAAATGTGCCAGATGTTCTGGTGTATAAAGCACTTACAAAAAAGAAGCTTTTCATTTCTTGCATCGCTTAGTAAAGGTTAGTTACGTTAAGAGCCTGTTTTACAATCACACAGAAAGTAATAAAATATTCCACGACCAAAAACTCTTCAAAGAATATCGTCTTACTTTACTTTTTTCTTCCTCCTAACGAGAAACCGAGAAGAAACCAACATAAGCTTGGGTCATGTTTTTGTTTGTTTGTTTTTTCTTTGTTTTGGTGGTGGAAGGGGGGGGGTTACAATCTATTCTTACTGATCCTGGTACTATTTTGGTTTAAAATGGCTGACATTTTCTAGTATATAAAGTATTGGATATAAAAGTAACAAGATGATAAAAACCCTATAACCCGAAAGGTACACCTTTCGAAAGCGCTCGGGTTATAGGGTTTTATTATTTAATATCAAGACTTCTTGAACCTACGTGTTTATCTGACATCATGAAAGTAGTATGCAGAGTATCATAGAAACAAGTGTGGTTTCGTTTTGCATCCCCACCCCCTCAGTGACACAGCGGAATGTCTGTGGACTTACAACGCTAGAAACCAGGTTTCGATACCCATGGTGGGCAAAGCACAGATAGCCCTTTGTGTAGCTTTGTGCTTACCTACAAACAAACAAACAATCGATTTGTAGAAAATACGATAAAATTTGTTATAATAAGTCAAGCGCAACATACTTCTAAAAGAATAAGGAAAACAAAGTCAGAACATCGGAGTTAAGCCTTTAATGAGAAATTTGTTTATAAAGCAATGTAAAAGATTTAGGCTCACAACATTTATAGTCTCGGGTCATGACCTCCAGCATCGTATTAAAATATAAGCGGTCATTTTATCCTACAAAATCCAGTGATTCTTGTTCTAAATTAACCTTTTACCTATTAATATTGTTATCCCCCTTAATTAGTGTAGCACTTCTGTTGTTAAGTGTATCACGTGTACATCACGCAGTTTTATTGTGTAAAGATCATTTCCTTGCCTACTATGAAAAATAGCACTTTATCTACATTTTAGCCGCAACTCATAATTCTGATGGTCCATGTTTGTTTTTTAAAGTGATTTGATTCGTTTATTGTCTTCTTTGTAAGATGAGTTGAACAATGATGTAACATCTTAATCCTAAAAAAACTAGGGTTTGTATAAGTTAACATGGCATAAACGTACAGCTATAGCAGCATCGGTTAATCAGTTTTCTACTCGTTTTCTAAATGAATAGTAGAAAGAAATGATATACAGCTCGTGTCTTCAAGGCACGTATTATCATGAGAGAGAGCTTCACATCCGGGTTCTTAAAAAATAAATACACTTAAAGCCACGGGCGTCCTAAAGCAGGAACTGTAGAATGCTTATTACCTCACATTTGTATGTCAGAAAAAATACTGTAGAACAGTTACTAGGGTTATCAAATTCGTTTCAGTGAAGTTTTAAACTCAAAGAAAAAACCCGACTATAATAGATATGTTCTCTGCTTTTTGATGCCCATTGAAATAAAGCAGTTGTTAGTGAATTATTAATCAGATACAATCTTGTAACAAAAACATCAATTTCTTACTCTCTACATGTTATACATGTAATACTAAGCGTAAGTCTATTACAATAAGAACAGATCATTGCCTAATGGTTAGCGTGCGAGGATTACGATTCCAATAATTAAAGTTTCGCATCTCGCTATCGCAACAACGCGCTTCGCACTTTGGGGCGTTATAAGAGTGACGGTTAAGTCCCATTATTCATTCAGACAAGAGTAGACCAAGAGTTGGCGGCATGTGTTGTAGACTAGCTTCCTTCCGTCTTGTTTGTCACTTGAAATTAGGGAGGGCTATGCGCAAATAGCACTTGTGTAGCTTTCACTAAACCTATACTTACAATAATTAAAACTTGCGTCATTTTCATAGTTTTGAATAAGTTTTGTTTTTACATGTACACATTAACTTTTTAAAGTGTTTTATTTTTAACATTCATGAACGATTAAATTGTGAGGTATGTTGGATAAATTTTTCTTTAACCAAGGCCTATACTTACTCACTTACTGCCATTTTTCGCTGACCTAACTTTACTGAGTCAAAAATCTCGTTGACTCAGTTCTAATGACTCACTTATTCCCTAACTTGCTCATTCTGACCTAATTTCTAACTAACACTGCAAATACGCACACTTCTTTTTTGAGCAACAAACTAACAAATTATTCTATTGTGTGTAAAAAACCAAGAATAATACTTTTGTAACGGTTTTTATTGTTGTGCAGGATGTTACATCATTATTCGGTAAAAAAGAACTCAAAGTGCAGTTCACTTAACTATAAAGAAAGCGTTTTATTTATTCGGCCAGAAGTTTTAAAAATTTCTCTCTTACTAACCTAATGCTCACAGAACAATGGGACTAACTTCCAAATAAAGATAAAAAGTTCATAGCATGTTAATTTTCTCTTGCACCTATGGCACTTCCTCGTATCTCTTGTACTTCGTTGAAACAAACGTCTAAATTAAATAATGTATCCTCCAACACTACCCCTTTCCTGGATTTTGAAGTATGAGTGCCATTTCAAAAAAGACTTGAAACAAACGTCTAAATTAAATAATGTATCCTCCAACACTACCCCTTCCGTGTATTTTGAAGTATGAGTGTCATTTCAGAAAAGACTTGAAACAAACGTCTAAATTAAATAATGTATCCTCCAACACTACCCCTTCCGTGTATTTTGAAGTATGAGTGCCATTTCAGAAAAGACTTGGAAGTGCAAAGAAGATTGTTTTGGGGGCCTTCCTTCATCCAATTAAACAGGGGGGGGGGGCAGAACTCGAGTGGTTCGGCCACCCATGTAGCCCCATTTTCTGAAAACCCTTGAATACTCCTATTACACAAAGAGAACAATGGTACATTAAACTTAAACTTCCATAAATAATAATAAAGTAACTCTTGACAATTAGCAATATTAATAGTCATAAATATAAACAGTACAACAATTAAACTATTAATTAATGTTTAAAACAAAGTGGTAAAATCCAAATTTTAATTAACGAAATAAAATATTTCTTTGCTCATTTATTCTTCCTACACTGTACTGTCACCATATTTTTTTGGTATTATTGTCCATGTCTTATGATACAAAGGTGAGATGACATCTTGTTGGCCTGGCACAACCTGATGGTTAGGGAGCTCGATTCGTAAACCATGGGTTCGAATCCCCATCACCGAACACGTTCGCCTTTTAAGCAAATAGGGGCTTTGTAATGTGATGGTCAATCCCACTATTCGTTGGTAAAAGAGTAGTCCAAGAGCTCGCAGAAGATAGTTTTATCTAACTGCCTTCCCTCTAGTCTGTCACTGCTAAATTCTATTCATTTAGATAGTCGGCGGAATTCACTGGTGGCTCCATCTTTGGTAATATTTAAAAGTGTTCTCATTAGGAACCTCGAGCTCTTCAGCGATTTGGCTTACCTCTGGCGAAGTCTTCTCTGAAGCTAACCAGTCGGCACTTCTCTCATCAACGTGCTTTCAAAAAATTATCACAATGGATAACCTTGGTTTTGGACCATCTGGCTTTTTGGATTACGCTCTGTTGCACTTCGTTGTCTTCATTATCGTGTTCTTTCATCCTTATTGTCAATGGAAGCTCAACTCCTGGTGGTTTAATTGCCATGTAGTGTATAGGAATTTCCTGGTCGTAGGCTGTAAAAATGTTTGAAGCAAGCTTAGCCTCACCTATGTGCTTCTGAGGTCTATTCCCAATAAGAATTCTTTCTCATTGCTAATTAACCACATATCATGTCCAGTAGGATAGCTTCCATAGTGAAGGTTACTTCTAACTTCCATTTGCTGTTTGCACCTATATATCTTCTGTTTCATTTCTGTAGGTAGTTTTCCATCTTTTATTATCAGATCAAGTCGAACAATAACAGCTGTAGAACTAGTGCCAATCAACATGTTACAATACTTCCCATCAATGAATATATAGACATGTGGACTAATTTGTTTAAATAGCGCATTCACTGGAGACAGATGGAATATTCACATTCTCGGGATAATATCTACTTGGTTTATTATTGGCAACTGATTGATCACAGTCTCAAATGCAATGTCCATGTTTTCTACACTTAGATCAGGTTTTTATTCTTTTAGTTCTTTGTGAGCAGTTTCAATGCTCACCTTGGGCATTTTTAACTTATAGCCACAGATTTGGGGGGGGGGGGTAAAAGGTTTAATAGCCAAACCAAGTGGGCGATTCAAACATGAGACGAACAAATAATCAAGAGCTAAATAAAGTAATCATCAAAAGTAGTTAATGATTTTTTTATGAAAAATATAACAAGTACGTGCTCATTTCAATTTTTAAAATTAATTAATTAATTAGAAGACAAATAATGTAATTTTATTAATTTCTTTAATCAAATTAAACACTTATAAATAATATCTGAAATACATTTTCATTAACAGTTTCTTTATCCTCTGGCCACCCAGTGGCACAGCGGTATGTCTGTGGACTCATAAAGCTAGAAACCGAGGTGGGCAGAGCACAGATAGCTCATTGTGTAGCTTTGTGCTTAACTACAAACAAACAAACAAATCTTCTTCTCTGAGGTGCCCCCAGTGGCACAGCGGCATGTCTGCGGATTTGCAACGCTAGAAACCGGGTTTTGATACCCGTGATGGGCAGAGCACAGATAGCCTCTTGTGTAGCTTTGCGCTTAACTCTAACAAACAAATCCTCTACGTTTGTTTAACTCTTTACAAGTCAATTCCAATTCACTAGTTTGCCAATCAACTTTTTTTAATAAAATAAAGATATTTGCAGTCTGATACTAGGTGTAACCAGCTGTCTTAGATCTTTATGATAATTAAAATCACTATTTCATCCATTGTTTATGCAAAAACAAACAGTTTACTAAGTGCAATCTTTCTACAAATCGTAGACTCTTATTGGTCAGTTACACTAATTAGTTAACGTTACGACTTATTTGATTGGCTGAATGAATAATTATTAAGATTTTTTACACAATAGACCATGATAACGGCAATTACTGCTGTAAATACAAAAGTGTTAAGCTGTGATTAATCTAATAATCAAACATCAGTTAAAGGAACTAATAGCAACAAAACTTCAAAGCACGATGGGAAGAATTTATTTAATCACTTGTGTTTGTGACAGATACAGTGAATAATATTACTGATTATGCAACCGGCGATAATACCAGAGGATAAATAAAATATTGTTGCGTCAGCGAGGTCACGTGACTAGTGTCACGCCACGTTTCTAGAACTATCCTGTTTCTTCGGGAGTGCTCTAGCATTTGCTAGATTTGGGGTGGTCTGGTATATATAAGATGGTCACGGCGTGACGTGACAATGTGTGTAGATAGTGAGTAATTGAACTGCAGTCAGAAAGTATTGTTGAAGTTAACGTTCGTTGTTATAGCGTTTTTAATAGCGCGACTGTTGAAAATAAGTGTATCGTAAAGTTGTATTCGGAAAGAATAAACCAGTTTTATTAAGTAAGGACTTGTGTCGCTAAAGTTTCGTCGGAACGAAGTTACGGAAAATCAACTAACGAACGGAGACGTAACAATATATACGAAGATTCGAGCTTGATTTGGAATTTTTTAAATGAATTAATCTACATTTTTTTATCGCTGACGTTTTGAAATAATTGCAGGTGAGAGGCAAGTTTTTAGTACATCTACAAGAAGTTCAGCTTAGGTTTCATTCTTTCTCCCTATTCTGGTTCGAAACTTTGCTTTGGAAACTTCTTTCTGATATAACACGACAAACCTATGAGTTATAATTGTTACGGCTCTCTGTTGGAAGGTTGCTTAATGTTGTTAAAGCTGGCCTTTTTAAATGTGCAGTATCATGAATAGTTTGTCGTTACTACTCCCTCCGTTCGCTGGGAAATTATTTGACACTTTACCTGATATGTCTCCCATATTATCCTTCCATCATAATATGTTGGTTTCTCGACTGGTGAATGTTGAACTGACCTGCTATACTCTGTAACTAGGTAAGTAATACTGTAGCTTGATTAGTCCAGAAAGGTCCAGCAGTCATAAGTGGCAAAACAGTAATGGTAGCTGGTGAAGAACAGATGGATTCTCCTAATTCATTTTGCATAGTTAATAGTGTTTAAGGTTGGACTTCTTGAGTGGATGCAGAGAGGTGTGTGCTGGTTTGGTCTTTGCATATTTTCCAATTGAGTTTCAAAATGTTTTATTCTGGTGTTGACGTCCTTTTTCACTTCGTTAATGATCTTCAGTATATCGTATGGCTTCTGTGATCTTATTACCATAATTCTTCTGTGCTTCATTGACGCTCTTTTGCATTTCATCTGTCTTGTCTGTTAGACCTTTTCTCCAAATAGATTTCAGTTTGTTTGTTTTTTGTTGTTGTTTTTTAAAATTCACTCTAAATATTTTCAAGGCTTAATCGATCTTGACTTTTGTTCATAATTCTTCTCGAAATCTTATGTCTCGTTTTTTGTATTTCTTTTTGAACTTACCGTTTCCCATTAGAGCTTTTAATTTCGTGTTTTTCTTGCTTCTTGTTCTTCTTTAAATTTTTGTAACTTTCTTCTTAATCTTCTTTCCATTATTTCATCATTTCTATTAAATTTTCAATGTTTCTTCTGGCACGTGTCGTTATCTTTAAGTTTAGACTGAACGCTATTAAAGAATTCCAAGTCCAGTCCACTTTATGATAACGAAAATGTTCGCCCCCCAATGGCACAGCGGACTTACAACGCTAGAATCTGGATTTCGATACCTGTGGTGAGCAGAGCACAGATAGCCCATTGTGTAGCTTTGTGATTAATTACAAACAATCAAACAAACGAAAGTGTTTTATTTCTTCGGCTGCAAGTCCTACAAATTTCACGTACTATCTAATGTTCACTGAGCGAGTGATAGGCCTAAGTTCCAAATAACATTAAACAGCCACTTACTTTCGATGATTAATTTGTGCCAGATCACCCCTGATGTAAGATCTGAAATATGTATTGCATTTTTTTTTCTAATCTAAAAGAGGAAACTGTATACTCAATTCCAAG